GGTCGTACAAACACCCAGCAATGTGGAACCGGGAGAGCGCGGGAGAGCCCCGAGCCCCAAAGATGCCCCTTCAGCGCACACACGCACCCCAATGGATACGTGAGGATCCCCCCCTCACACCCCGCCCCTCAGAGGGGCCCCTGTTCCTGCCCGTCAACCAAGGGTCACAGGGACGGCCTCCGGCCCCCGGGGGGACATCTGGGTCCCTGGTTAGACCGGCTCCGCGCATCCACTGCTCCCTCTGCCCCGCGGGCCGTGGCCTCTGCCAGCCCTTCCGGCCAGTGGCCTCCGTGCTCCTGGCCGCACAGACGGGTATCCCTCAGCCCGGGCAGGGGGGGCCGGCGAGCTGCCGGGAACCGGCTGGTGGGCTCTGCTCCGCGGGCGCCCGCAGCGTGCATGGCCCTCACTGTTCTCCACACCATCTAACGGCGGGAGGCCGGGCCCCAGCGCCAGGGCGCCAGGCGTTTCCGGGCCCCGAGCCTCTCGGAAGCACGGGGTCCGCTGGGCTTGTGGCCTCGGCAGCGGTGGGCGTGCTCGCGGGAAGACACGCACCCCCAGGCAGCTGTCCCTGGGGACCTGCCGTCCGCCCGGGAGCACGAGGGGTCAGAGGAGCCGAGAGACGCGAGTCTTTGGTGTGAGAGGTCTGTCCCTGAAAAACGCGGTGCCCGAGGGGGAGGACCGGGCCCCGGCGCAGCCTCCAAACCGCCACCATCCGTGTCCATCCGACGCCTCAGACAGGATGACGCCGAGTCCCCGCCCTCCCCAGCCCCGGACCGCCGGCCCCTCGCCGCCCGGGAGCTCGCCCCGTGGCAGAGGGAGAAGGGGCGCCAGGCCACGGCCTGAGAACGGGAAGGAAGGGCAGCCGCGGCGGGGCTGCCGGGCCCTGAGGACTCCCGTGAGGTGAGGAGCTGGGAGAGCGAGGCTGAGGCTCTGTCTCTAGAGCCATGCGTGTCGCTAGCTCCGGGACTCCCTCCTCAGCCCAGCCCGCCCTGCGCGCGCTGAGGCCTGCAGGGACCTGCCCGGGGCCAGCAGACAGGCCAGAGCGAGACCCCCATGTGGAGTCCTCCTGCCCTCCCTCCGGACCCCCCGGGCTGTGGCCAGGTCAGCACTGGGCAGGGAACCTGCCACTCACTACGCACGCGTTTACCACCTGGCAGGAAGTGCCAGGCTGCAGACAGCCCATTGCCCTGCTGTGCGGAGCACACTCAGCCCGGCCAGCCTCGTGCCTCTGACCGATCCACGGGGCCGACGGGCTCTGGTCACAGTATGTGCATGGATTCCAGGGGCGGGCGGCGCCCCCTGGAGTTAAGATGACCCTGATGACAGCGATGAGCTCCGGAGGCGAGGCGCTGGGGGCCTGCCTGTCAGTGTTCCTGCACCGGCTGCCCCAGGCCCAGCCATCAGGCTGCTTCCCAGGCCGTTTGTCCGAGAGACAGGATGACAGAGCCCAAAGGAGGGCCTCACCGAGTCCCTCGGGGGCCAGGAGACCAGGGAGGCTTTGGCAAGATGGGGGAGATGCTCCGCCCACCCCCAGGCTGGAAAGCAGCAGGGGGCCTTCCAGGTGGAACGGCGCAGGCAAAGGCTCAGAGGCGGGACTCTGCGTGGATGTTGTTCCTTGACCAAAACAGAGGGTAACAAGGCCATGCGGGGGCCGCGTTATGCTCAGACTGAGTGGGTCACGCAGAACCTGCCAGAGAAAGTATCTCCGAGACGGCGGCCACAACAGCTAGCCCTGGTGCCCATGGTGCTGGTTCTGATCACTAATGCCAGCCAGGGCTCGAACCCCCACCCTCACTAGGAGCTGCTGGTGCCCACGTGTCCCGGCTGGCTTCCAGGGACCCTTATGAAACCCCTGCCGGGCGGCACCTGCCCCCCCCCACCTCCCGCTGTCTAGTCCAGGAAAGCCTGCCCCTGCTGTCCATGTTCATAGCCGACCAGACCCTCCCCCAGTTGTTCAGGGACAGACTGCTGATGCCGAGCACAGAAGGGAGATCAAGTGGGAACTCAGAAGAGGCAGCGAGCTCTGGCCAGCAGACCCTGCGTCCAGGGCCCCGTGGGCACCCCGCTGCAGCATCTCTCACAGGGGAGGGCATTGCTCACCACACACTGACCCACAGAGAGGCGTCGCGGGGTCTCCGGGGAAATGGCGCATCGAACGCATCGATCGCGGCCCTTGTGTTCTCACCCCAAACTCCTCCACCAGAGGGAGCCCAAGCGGCTCACGGGCCATCCCACAAGAGGGTGCCAAGCGTCCCAGGGTCCCAGGCGGGCGGAGCGGGGCAGCACAATGTCTCAGCCCAACTCAGATGGACCCACCTACAGCTCTATGGGACATTTTGGGGGACAGTCAGGGTGCTGCGCTGATGGGCTTTTAGATAAATGCTGCTGTGTGGAATTTCAGTTTTGGGGGGGGGATCCTGGCACTGTTGTCTGAGACCAGTGTTCTCTTTGGTGGCACCGCCTTCAGGCGGCACACATCCCTTCATCCTCCTTATTCCTGAGTGTGTGGGGGCGGGGCGGCGGGAGAGAGGCAGCCGGGGGCAGTGACAGAGGCTGGGGAGTCCCTCTGACCACTCCTCCACTTCTCGGTAAATCTGGAATTTGCGAAATAGAAAGTTTGTGGGGAGGACATCATGGTCATTGATTCTTTTTTTCTTTCTTGTTGCTTCTACCAAGGTGAGGCCGAAAAGGAGCCACAGGAAACGGATTTATGCCCGGGGCTTTGGTTCTCGGGACGAGGCCCTGTTGGTGGTGACGCTGTCTGTTCCCTCTCCCCGCTCCCAGCACCTGCCAAGTCAGATGACTCCGGGTTTCTGTTCTGGAGGCTGACGTGGCAGCTGACCAGACACCCAGGCCAAGTCCGGCCAGGCCCATGCCCCCCCCCCCGCGGTGCCAGAGGCTCCTGAGAGCCAGGGGTGCTCCCGGGAGGGGAGGCGCAGAAAGAGCCGCTGTTTCTCCTTTGCACGGACGTTAGGGCCCTGACGTTTAAAAAAATAACATCAGACATGAGCCAGTTCAGACAGACCTTGGAGACTGAGATCTGTCCCGAGTGGCCCAGAGCGTCTGAGGTCCTTCCCAGCCCTGTGCCCTGCACAAGGGGCCGTGTTCAACATGGGTGTATCATGTGTGTAGCATGATGTAACATGGATGTAGCATGTGTGTAACATGGATGTAGCGCGGAGTGCGTGCCTGTTCAGAGGGGCCTTGAGTGATGGGTTTCAGTCCTGTGGGCCAAAGGCTTGGGACTGGCGGCATTTGGTGATGTCTCCTTTAAGAAACCGGGTAGGTTTCCTCTTCCCAGGATCCCCCAGGGCTCCCGGCACCTTCCGAGAATCCGGCCAAAGCCGTTCCCACCCAGAGCGGGAGAGGGAGCCTCCCGTAGGAAGGAGGAGCAGGGGTGTGGATGGCTGTCACTGCAGGGCCCTCCAGGGAGCGCCCGAGCCTACCTGTCCCTCTGAGGTCGCCCCCTAGTGGAGGGGGAGGGATTTCCCCTCTGGGAAAAGTTGTCCCCTGTGATGGACACTCCCAGCAGGCCGAGCCGCGGCTCCCTGCCTCCCCCTCCTGAGACCCACACGGAGGCCATGTTCATGGGTCAGACGCAGCCAGAGACTCCTTCCCGGGACCCGCATGCCTACAGGGCGAGGGTTTTTCACGAGGGACGCCCTGTCTTCATTCTGAATCATCGACCTCCTGGTACCTGCTCACATCCACGCACCCCAAACGGGAACCCTGCCTCGCTCAGCGGCTGCTGCACAGACAGCCACCCCCCCCGACAGTCCGTCATCACAGAGACAAGAGGGAGCTAACGGGCCACCGGCCCCCTTCCCGGCTCCCCGGCCCGGCCAGCCGCACGGCGCACAGTTAGAACTGAGGTGGTAAAACTGAACGTAACAGGACCAGTGCCTTCGGTCATCCCTCCGTGGTTTCCCTGTGCAGAACGCAGACCCGTTGAACGGAGCGCATGCTTTAAAAGGTTTTTAACGGGCAAGCTGCGGTGGTCCCGGTGGCCGTGCCCCCCACCCGCCCCGAGACGTGTGAACGTGACTCAGAGCAGAGCGCTGGGGACGCCTGGGCGTGACGCACCGGGACGGAGGCTGCGCGGAGCATGCTCGCTCGGCAAGACGGTAAATCAAACACCTCGTGGGCTTTGTTTTCCTGGTTGTTTGGAAGCAGCCAAAAGCAGGCTATTAACAAAATTGTAGGATGGAGAAAAGAAATGAATACCTGTGCTTCCCTCCGCGCTGCGCGGCGCCCACGCGTACGCACACACAGGCACACACGCACACACAGGCACGCACACACACAGGCACGCACACACACAGGCACACACACACACAGGCACACACGCACACAGGCACCCACGCACACAGGCACACACACACAGGCACGCACATGCACACGCACAGCCACCCGCTCCCCAGGAAGAGGGGTGTCCTGGCGGACGCCCGATGGTGGGCGCCGAGGCTCTCGTGGGTGCAGCTCTGGGCCGGGCACCCTCCGCTCGGTCTCGTGGTCTCGGTGTCACCGTCCTGGGGGGGCCGCCCGCGGGGGCCCCCGGGGGTGTAAGGCATATGCTGCTGGTCAGGAGGGGGAAACCCATGCTCATGCTCAGATGCTGTTTCAGAGGAGGACTGGGCAGCTCCATCCGGCTGGAAGGGGAGGGGGCGGGGAAGGAAACCGAGACGGAAGGAAGGGCAGGACGCATGACGGTGACAGTATGACTCCGGCCGAGAACAGCTAATAAATAAAGGAGAGACCAGGGGGCCCGGCCTGTGCGGCTCAGGGGCTGAGCATTGGCCTAGGAGCCGGGAGGCCACGCTGCGGTCCCCGGTCGGGGCTCAGGCCTGGGTTGTGTCCCCATCTCTCGCTCTCCCCCTTCCTCTCCGACATCAACAGAAACAGGACGTAACCCGGGGCTGGGCGGGCGGGCGGGGCCGGTGGAATGTGACAGGTGACCACGGGCGCCGGTTCCGGCCGCGGCCCGCCCCGCCGCCGCCCCCCTAGATGGACCTCCGCCGGCGCATGAGCCGGCGCACGTCCGTGAGGCTGTGCGGCCCCGGCGACACGGAGCTGGCGGGCGACGGGAAGAAGCTGTTGCGCAGCGTGCTGGGCGAGATCTCCTCGATGCGGTAGGACACGGAGTGGAAGTACTGCGGGCCCAGCTGGCCGCCCAGGCCCAGCGAGTTCTGGTGGCCGGCGGCGGGGCGGCCGCCCGCCCGGCCCGGGGGCCGGTAGCAGGAGCAGGAGCACACGGACTGCAGGTCCCCGTCCGCCTTGCCGCCCCGCGCCCGGCCCCGCGGCGCCTCCCCGGGCAGGCGCAGCGCCAGGCTGTTCCGGGCGCCGGCCAGGGAGGCCCGCTCCTCCGCGTCCCGCCGCTCGTCCTCGCTGTTCATGGTGAGGAAGCGCAGCACCACCAGGTTGAGGAAGGCGCCGATGACCGTGAGCCCCACCAGGATGTACATGAAGCTGAAGGCCACGTAGAGTGGCTTGCGCTGCAGCGCGCCCTTGGTCTGCAGCGCCACGTAGTCGCCGAAGCCGATGGTGGTGAGCGTGATGAAGCAGTAGTAGTAGGCGTGGAAGAAGCTCCAGTCCTCGCACTGCGAGAAGGCGGCCGCCCCGATGCACAGCGTGCCCATGCAGGAGAAGAAGCCCACGGTCACCATGTTCTCCATGGACACGTCCGTGTGCCGCATGCCACAGCACTTCTTGATGCGCTTCAGCAGGTACCGCACGAAGGTGTTCATGCGCTCGCCCAGGCTCTGGAACATGACCAGCGTCAGCGGGATGCCCAGCACCGCGTAGAACATGCAGAAGGCCTTGCCCGCGTCCGTGCCGGGGGCCGCGTGCCCGTAGCCTGCGGGGGAGAGAGCACAGGGAGAGCCGGTGACCGGAGGGCCCGTGAGGTTGGATGATGACGGGGAGGGGGGGTCGGGCTTGGGGGTGTTTCAATGGGGAGGGGCAGGGGAGTGTCCTTGGGAGAGGGGTGCGACACCCCCATCATGGGCGGGTGAGAGTTAGAGGAGAGAGACAACCGATGCAGACGGGTAGGGGGCACCTGGATGGTTTCCTTGGGGTGAGTTTGGAGTCTGTCCAGATCCCGAAGGGAAGGGAGAGGGGTCGGGGGAATCGGTGGAGAGCTGTCCGCTGAAGCCTGGGGATGCGGGGGGTAGGGGGGATCATGGGGAGGGGTGTAGGGGGTGATTTGCGGCATTTCCGTTGGGAGAGGAAGAAGAGTGTCTTCTTCTTCGTCTTAGAGCAACACGAAGTTTAAAAAAATAAAGACAGCCCATTCACTGCGAAGAACACTGCCAAGGTTCGAGCCCGACGAAGAGAGAGACCAGCGCGCCCTCTCTGGGCCAGCGCGGACGGTGCGCCAGGCTCGGGGCTCACGCCTGCCGCCCGCCGCTGCTTTGCTGAGGGAGGTCAGCACGTACCCATAGGCACCGCCCGATCCGAAGGGCAGAGAGGAGCGCAGATGAAATAAACAAGCAACGCCTCAGACAGCGCGGGCAATAAGGAAAGGCATCAGAGAAGGGAAACAGACCAAGACCAGAAAGGAAGGATGCAGCCACGTCGGGTAGAGGACCCGCGGGTACAGATCCAAGAAGCCGCGTGAACCCCAAGCAGGATAAATACGAGGGGAGCCACACGTCCGAGTGAGACTGCCGAAAGCCAAGGAGAGAGGATCTTGAAAGCAGCCAGAGAGAAACCAGGGGTCCCACACAGGGACACGGCTGGTGGAGTTTTGCTTACTTCCCACCATAAACAGCGGAGGCCGGCAAACCGTGGAATCGCACCTTTAAGAGCTTTTTGAAAAAGGCTATTACCCCAGAATTGTCTGCACAGAGAAAATATCCTTTAAGAAGGAAAGCCAAACATATTTCCAGAGTAAGGAACATCTGCTAAGAGCCGATCTGCATGGCGTGACTTCCAAAGGAAGGTAGGTCTGTGCCGGTGTGGCTCAGTGGATGGAGCGTCGGCCTGCGGACTGAAGGGTCCCAGGTTCGATTCCAGTCAAGGGCACAGGCCTGGGCTGCAGGCTCGAGCCCCAGTGTGGGGTGTTCAGGAGGGAGACAGCCAGTCAGTGATTCTCTCTCATCATTGGTGTTTCTATCTCCCTCCCCCTTCCTCTCTGAAATCAATAAAAATATATTTAAAAAATAAAGGGAGGGGGTTCTGCCTGGAAGGAAGCGGTGCAGACGGAGACGGCGGCTTGGGAGGGGATGAAGCCCCTCGGCACATGTGGGTGCGTATGTACCCCCGTGCGGGGCGGGAGCCCGCCGCCCGGCCACTGCCCCGCCACGGGCCCGCCGCCTGGCCACGGAGCCCGCCGCCCCGCCACGGAGCCCGCCGCCCGGCCACGGAGCCCGCCGCCCCGCCACGGAGCCCACCGCCCCGCCACGGAGCCCGCCGCCCGGCCACTGCCCCGCCACGGGCCCGCCGCCTGGCCACGGAGCCCGCCGCCCCGCCACGGAGCCCGCCGACCCGCCACGGAGCCCGCCTGTGCGGCTGCCACAGAAGGCAGGGCGGATGCGGGAAGTGAGCACGGTGGTAACGTCAGCTCACGGCCCCTGTGGGATGTGTGCACTGGTGGAAGCCAGTCCGGCCTTTTCTGGCTCAAACACTGCACCCCAGGGTCCGGGCCTCCCTGAACCCCCTGCTGTCAGCAACGGTCAGCAGGCAGCCCCGGGGACAGAGTGCACCTGGGTAGCCTGCAGGTCACATGGTCCTCGGGCTCCCAGTGCAGAGCATCCAGTGGACAGCCCGCCGGGAGGAAGCCGGAGCCAGGGAGGCGCTGAGGTCCGGGGACCCGTGTCTGAGTTTCTAAAGAACTGGTGCAGGCACTGCTCCCACGGAGGGCGCCGTGTCCTGCAAATACCCGCCTGCCCGCTGCTCATTCCCTCTGTCACGGGATCTGCCGAGACGGCGCCACGAGCCACACGCACATCCCACACCCACCAGGCTCCTGCCGGTCCCTCCGCAGAGCCGGGCGCTCGGAGCTGGGGGAACGAGGCGGGTGGAGCGGAGTAGCTTCGGGGCGTGGAGGCACCAGACACGCACACAGCTCCTTCCGCTGCCTCTGGCCGCCCGGGGCCGAGAGGGCCAGGCCCCTCCTGAGCTGCCCAAGCCCCTTGGCGTCGATCCCCGGCCGAGAATTCCCACGGGCTGCTGCACACTCGTGGACAAGACCGGCCCTGGCATCGGCCCCAGGTCTGAGTCCTGAGTCCCACAGGGACCTGGTCCGGTCCGCCCCCCTACCCTGGCCTCCCTGTCTTCTGCCAATTCCACTGCAGCCCCGGCTCCCAGCTCCCGGCTCCTCACTCCGGTTCCCGGCTCCCAGCTCCAGGTTCCACGGCTCCCCACTCTGGCTCCCTTCTCCCAGCTCCCGGTTCCCTGGCTCCTGGCTCCCGGCTCCCCGCTCCGCAAGTGGGAGCAGCTGGCAGGCCGGTGCCAGGTGTGGGTGGTAGGCCTGGCTCCTCCCGCCCACAGCTGCGGGGGGAGGAGGGCGGAGGAGGGGCAGGGGGACCAGCCTGCCTGCCCGGCCGGAGCTGGCACCGGGCCTCTGGGCTTCGGCACATTTGCTGCCGGAAGAGAATGAAATATTTATGAGCACTCGGCGCTGTAGGAGTTCAATGGGCACAAATCGCATTAAGGAATGACTCAGGGCAGCACGGGGGCGGGCGGGCGGGCGGGTGGAGGAAAGCCGTTCGGGCCCCCGGCTTCCTGGTGGCTCCCACTCCGGCCTGGGTCAGCCCTGGCTCAGCCTGCCCCACCTGCCCCAGAGGAGGGAGGCCGAGGAGGGAGGCCACTGAGGGCTTTGGGGAGCCCGCCGCTGGCCGTTCAGCTCCCAGCGCACAGCCCTCCACAGGCCCAGGACTACCCCCCAGGCTCCCCGCAGCTCTGAGCTGTTGCTGGTCCTGGGGTTCGCCCCCCCTCCCCTCCCCTCCCCCTGCCACATCGGGTCCCATTCAGGTTTCCGGAGGAGCTACACACGATTAAGACTCAGGCAGGCTCAGTGGTGAGCATCGCCCTGGGAACCAGGAGCTCACAGTTTGATTCCCAGTCAGGGCACAGGCCTGGGTTGTGGGCTCGGTCCCCAGTAGGGGGCGTGCAGGAGGCAGCCGGTCCATGGTGCTCTCTCATCACTGACGTTTCTCTCTCCCTCTCCCTTCTTCTCTGACAGCAATAAAAATTCACGTTTGTTTTTTTTAAAAGAGAGTCAGGTGAAGGTGTTGCTTTCCTGCATTCGCTCTGTCATCTGAAACAACTGCCCTGGCCAGGCCGCCCCCCCCCCCCCCTCACCACAGGACCCGGAGCTCAGCTGCCCCAGGACCCGGCCTCCATCACTCCTGTGGGCTCTGACTGGGTGCCAGCCCCGCCCTGAGCCAATGGCTGTGGCTTTCCTGCGGGCATTGGAGGGCCCGGAGGGTGCTGGCCCAGCCCCGGGGCCACTCAGCGCCTTCGGAGGGCGGCCCCCGAGGAGAGCGCCCTGAGGCGGGGACCGGCCCCACCCCGCCCGAGCCCAGCAGCTCAGCCCCCCGGCGCTCCGGACGCCCCCCACCAGATCCTCTGGCTTCCGCCCGTGTTTTGATTGCGAGTGATTACGGCTCAGCAGGCCCCACGCCTCGTTGTGCCGGCGGAGAAGGAGCAGCCGTGTGTGTGGGTGACAAAGCACTCACAGCGCACACCCTGCACGCCACGGGTCCCTCCCGGGAGCCGCCGGCCTGTCCGCGGAGGTGGGGCCGGCAGGTGAGGGGAGCGGGCTGCGGGCGGACCGAGGCCCTGGGGGCCGGGGCCCTGATTTCGGAGAGAAGCCGGAAGACGGGGTTTGGAGTGTGGGATCTAATTGGTGTCTAATTACACATTCCTACATGTGGCACGGGGCACTCAAAACAAGACAAAGCAGCCATCTGTCTGTCTGCAGCAGAGGCATCCTGACATGGCAGGGAGGGAGGGGGAGCAGGAGGGGCTGGGGAAGGAAGGGGGCAGCAGAGGGGGGCTCAGCGAGCCATATGCCGGGCTCCCCACCACCCAGCCCCCTTTCCCCTCCTCCCACTCACCCCTCCCCGCACCCCCCCCCCCCCGTCACTGAGCCCACAACGGTTCCATTTCACAGATGCACAAATCGGGACGACAGAGGGGACATGGCCCGTGGGCCGCCTCCCCCAGCAGCAGAGGCCCACCTGCCCCGACAGGACAGAGGAGGCCACGCCCGGGGAGCAGGGGCTTCTGGGTAGACTGAGGCCCCTTCCCACACCCCCCAAGGGGAACGCCTCCCCATCTCGCAGGAGAGAAAACGCTGAGGCTGCAGCCCTTGGCCCTGCCTGCAGCCGCCTGAGGGTGTGGATCTGAGCGTGGAGCCGGCAGGGGCGAGGGCTCAGGGAGGAGCCTGGCCCAGGGCCGCCTAGCTGAGCCCTCTGAGCAGCAGGTGGGGGTGAGGGCAGCCCGTTTCCACCCCATCTCTCAGGGCTGCCGGCTGCTGGGACTCTAATGAGGCACCCACGGGGTCAGCTCCCCTGAGAGACAGCCAGCAGGCGCTGGGCACCCAGACACACCCCTCCAGCCCCTCCCAGCTCCCCCAGCTCCCAGGCTGGAGGCACAGCAGCGTGGAGAGTCCCCGGGGAAACCCTCCACCCACAGGTGACCTCGCTGGGGTTGGGCTGAGGCTCACGTGCGGCCAATGAGAGCTTAATGGGCAGAAACGACGGTTCCAGCCACAGCCTGCAGGGCCACTGGCCTGCCCTGGAGTCCCTCTGGGACGGGAGGTGCAAGGGCGCCCTCTGGCGGGAGCTCGGGGGACTGCGGGCCCACCAGGCCTGCCGCACCGCCCACAGCCCAGGCTCCCCGGGGACC